AACGAAGGAGGGAAGTTGAGGCTGTGAAAAAGAGGTGCGGGTGGAGCGAAGGTGGTTTAGGGTGGTTTTGGCTGTTTTCTCACCATCCTGCTCTACTTTTAGTTGGCAATAAGGTAAATGAATCTTCCGCAAGTCAAGTCTGCTTTGCCCGTGACGGTAATTGGTAAGCAATCCCTCTGTCTTTATCTGGACCCACAACCTTTTTCACCTTACTTCCTCCTTCTGTCCTGTTGAGGAGGGAGAGGGAGAGAGCAAGCAGCTGGGTGGGTGTCTGGAAGCCAGCCCAGGTCTTTTTGGTTTTGCAGCAACTATGGTAAATAGAAGTGCCATGCGTGTTTGTCATTTACGTGCTTTTTTCCTGCTTTGTGCTCCTGTGCCATCAGGAGCAGTCTCTTTCTCCCACTGTTGTTCCCCTCAGAGGACGACGGGCAATGATGCCAGTTGCCCTCTGTGCCTGTGTACCTGGGAACCAGTGGCAGGTTTACAGCCATGGGCAGAGCACAGCCCACCAACCCTCCTGCCATACCCTCAAATGAACAAGGAGACCCCAAAGGCCATGTGCGAGGAAAGCTGTGAACGGGAGCTACTGTGCTGATGGCTGCTTTCTTCAGCTCTTTCTGACTCTGCTAGCAAAGGTCCCACATCAGAACTGATGACAGAGAAGAAACACCTGCTCCCTTGGTCGTCTCAGACCCCCTTCACCTGCATTTCTTTCCCCAACCATACATCGCTCATTCCCTCTCAATGTTTCACAGATAGGTCAGTGCAGAAGACCTCCTCGGTCTTTGTAGTCCCAAACGTCTGAGGTTCAAGCACCAAAGGGTTTTCCCCATGACCTGTAGGCTTCCGGAGAGGTGGGAGCTAGGCGGAGGGGCACGGTCCGGTCCTCCTCTCTTGGCGTCCTAGCAAGAAGACGTCCTTCTGTGCAAGGCTGAGCTCTGGGGAAAGGGCCCTCAGTTCTCCCCTGGCAGCCCTGTCTCCACCATGCACCCAGAGATCTGCAGGCAAAGATCCTCTTTCTGTGCGGGGCTGGGGTTAGTGGCCTCAGAGAAAAGGAGAAGGTGGTGAGAGAGCTTCTGCCACGGCACTGTTCTTCCCCCGCACCCCAGGATGGGATTGCACTTGCCATGAGCTGCAAAGGGAGAGCACGGGCGGTTCTGATCGGTGCTCTCTCAACAGTACCATGGCAGGAACTGTCAGTCGCTCATCTGTGTCATCTTGCAGGCCCATGCGAATAACCTTTTTGTCCCGGAGCTGCCCAGTCTGATGGGAGTTGGGGCTGTGCAGCCTGTGAGGCGCCTCAGCCCTGCAAATCTGTGTAACCAACTGCTGGGCTGCATGGGGGGCCACTGTACGGGTGCGACGGAAGAACAGGGGACTTGCCCTAGCTATCACTGCTCTTGGATGCATGCCATGCCCCCTCCTTCTGGAGATGGCTGGGAAGGTGAGGAGCAGGAGGCTCTGAGCTCTAGCCAAGGTGATTTGCTCTACCATCCCCTCCTTCCATCCTCACGGCCATCTTGTGTCTGAGCCTTCTCCCCCAGCACAGCTCCACCCAGAGCAAGAGGAACCGCCTTGCGTGCTTGTGGGGCTGCTGACCTCCCAGGACCTCCTGCAGCACTGCGGTCCTCCCATGAAGACAGCACAAGTTGGGATCACCATCTGTAGGGCGTGCTCTGAGGCCAAGGGGAATACTTCTGGGCAAGAGACGCAGCAAGGGCAGGGCTGATTGATGGTCACTGCCTGTGGAGCAGCCAGAAACGTCATCCTCGGCTCGAAGGGACAGCGACCGAAGGAGGCCCACAGACAGTGTGTCCTGCCCTCCCATTCCTCCAGGAATGAGAAAGGGTGCACTTGCTCACCCATTTGTTCCCTCCCAGCTTATCTCCTTTCTCCCTGGACAGCTTTAGAGAGCATCCAGAGAGGAAAGGACCACACAGAGCCAGGGGCTGGGATGCAGCAGAGTTTAATGAGTCTAAAGAGGGAAACAAGATGTCTCCGAGCAGAGGCCACAGTGCCCAGGATCACCATGGGCAGCCAAGAGTCAGTGTCCCACAGAGGGAGAGGGGCAGGCAGGTCCCCCCAGGCTGGCTTGGGTGGGCTTCATGGCCCAGGGGAGCACAAGACAACAAAGGAAAAGGAAGGAAAGGAGAGAGCGGAGCAAGGGAATGAGAGGCATTGGCCATGTTTCCAGAGAGCGCAGGCTGGCCCCTTCCAAAAGGCTCACACCCTTTGCAGGAGGAGCAGGGCATGCTCAGCCCCTCTCAAAGCAATGGCCATGATCTCCGCGGTTCAGTCTGGCATGATCTTCTGGGTTCCTGGGTGTCCTTGTCTGGGCCGTCACCAAGTGCCTTTAGCAAGGGGGGCACCTTCTGCTGCCACGATAGCAGCTGGTGATGCAGGAGAGGTCACAGCAGCCAGAGTTGATGGGCACTCCGTCACAGCTGAGGATGCTGCCAACGGCAGCAGAGGTGGAGGAGCCCACAACGGTGCTCTGCGGGAAGGAGCTGAGGATGGGGCCGGGCAGGGTCACCACCACGGGGGAGGGCTGGATGACGATGGTGGAGTTCTGGCAGCGCCGGATGCAGGGCTCATTGCAGCTGTTGGCCAGCGGGGTCGGGCCGC